ATCTAATCAATAAAAAAAAAGACCACGACTAGATACATAATCACGCCTGTCTGGAATGAGGACGTAAATAGTTTACGGAAAAATATGCACGCATGAACAAATTTAGTGCTACGTTTTCGTAGCGTTACTTGGCGCCTACAAAACAACTCACTTGTATATCTGATAAGTAAAATTATGAGTTTTGAAGGGTTTTCAATGCGCATTTATTTTGGCAGTGGTGAAATAAAAAGACATCTTAGATATATTTTAGGGAACTACGTAATTATGCAAAAATTTCAGAGACCGCGTTACGTTAACGGGCCTCTAAAAAGGGACAGAATTCTAATTGCTTTGAATAATGGAAGCGTACAAAGCTATTCATCGCTAACTCATGTGGGGTTAAAAGAATTTTACGTTTTTGTTCGTCGGCTTTAATTCCATTGTGTATTTATTAAAATCCCTGCCACTGAAATACGTTTCAATTGTGTGCCGCGTGATTGTGTGATGAGGCATACATGTGCGATAATGTATCGAAATAAAGACGCTGAATACGTTTGAAGTCAGATCACCGAGAATTTTAACAATGAAGATTTTGATCAGATATAATTTATTTTTATTTTTAGTCGGCTAAATGAGTGAGCGAGCTGAGAACCCACCTGGTGATTGATATAGGCTAACTTAAAATTATAAAGTGGTCTATCCCATGCATTTATGTATGTTTCTACTCGTATTAACGTGACTTGTTTACCTCAGCTAATTAAGTTAAGTGTTAAGTGATTACCGATTATTATTATTATAAACCCTGTTACCATCAACCATCTTGAGAAATGCGATCTAAGACTCAAATGACGCGTAATGATATTACATCCTTTTAATACAAGTGAAAAACTACTTCGCGGTAGATTGGTAGGATGATGGTATCCACCCATGCGACCTCACATTTCTGTGATATAGCTGATAATTTAAACACGCAATTTATTTATTTAATTGAATTCATTATAGTAAATTAAACATATGCATGTTTAAATTTTTATTACAGAATGCATTCTGCATTCTTCATCACGGTAATTCATGTTGTTGGTAGCAATAGTTACTTGATAGCAAATTGTTAAAACTTAGGAACATAGACTGGTTTTCTAAAGCTTAAAAGAATTCATAAACAAGTTGAAATTTATTAAAAGAATACCGTCAATTATTAGCAGTTTGTATTGCAGCAACAGGCGCATTGATAAAGCCATGAATCGTGAACGGCTGCCGCCAAGCTCTAATTGAATTTAGGAACTTTGCACTAACCTAACTGCCGTCGATCCACCGGATAGTGACTAAACAAAGTTCTTGCTTGACTGAGGACTATTTTATTGAAGCCATATTTCATGACTAAGTTTTTATGTTCGTTTGGAAAATAGCCATAATGAGACATATAGTATGAATCTAGTTTGGTCCGTTCGTTTTTTCAATCTGTTCACACAACTTCGGATTCATTTCCTCGTGAATGTCATGATGTCTACTGATCGCCTAGCTTTCAAAATAAAGGTTCGGTAACTTATTTTGAACGAATGTGGAGTTATATCTAATAACTAGACTTGGAAACTAGTGTAGGTCTTTTCTGTGTCACTATACTTTTACAATCAAACATCGATTTATATAATCAAACTGTTTCTTTTCCTGTTTATTTATATTGAGCTATACGACTGAGTTTATACAACATTCATTTCAGCTATTTGCATAATTTGGGGTATTCGCGTTTTCGAAAGAAGCACGAAATTCATTATTCGCTGAAACACAAATAATTGACAGAAAAACAGAACCCAAAATAATTCAGACGAGTGAATCATAACTTTTTTTGTTTAACAGGAAGAAATCCTTATGATAGGTAGATTGTTCCGTTATATGTATGAATTTATTTAATCTCATCTTACTCTTTGTAACTGTAAAGTAAATAAGTGGGGCAGTATTGACTAATAAGCTAGTACAGCTTTCTTAACGAGTTTCTTCCAAAATTTGATCATGAAAAACTCACTTGAGGGGATAACAAATGTTTCAAGATGCTAATGAACTATCAAGACAGAAAACTAAAGTGGTGGATGAGAATTTGAACAAAATTTTTGTAATTGAGTGTACATCATTGAAAGTACACATTGAGAGTGCATGAATCAGAAAATAAATGCTGCCACCCAGATCGAGACATTAGGTTGAAGTCTAAATTGTATTTGGCTTTTGAGACCAGGATTTATTTACGAGAGGAACAAGATGATGATAATTACTCGTGCAAGCTTAGAGCAGAGTGTGCTATAGGAGATAGCAATTAGGAGGGCGAAGGGAGATATATAGAAATAAAATTAGGTATGCTACGAATGAGTATGAGATAAAATTGAGTATGAATTTTGATGAAAAATAAGACTAGAGACACACAGGAATTTGAGTAAAGGCATAAGCACAAGAAGAAAGTGAATACAATAAAAATATTAAAATAACAAAAAATCTTTGATCATTTAATCGCACCTATCACAATAGAAGTCAGCCAAAAACCAGAATGGAACAAATTTTCCCAGAATAATATATTGTTATTGCGCTGGGAAACAAACATAAAAAAATTCCCTATATTTCTTTCATTAAAGCCTTTTCGGTAATTAATGGTAGATTGACAGTGGTGTAAACTAACACCTTACTACTTATGGTTCAGAAGGGGTTGTTTTGCGCCCCTGCGTGTCACCCTATTTGACCACAGCGTCAAAAATGTACAGCTGAGAGATAAAATCTTTACTTTTCTACTGGGAAGGTCGGAAGGATAGGCGATAATAATTAACAGGTGCAGAGTTATGATGTTATACTGTGTCCGTCAACTGTGAGCGAAAACTGTTTATTGCACCATAAAGTAACCTCCGTTAAAGCCTCCGTATACCTTTTATAGGTCGTTTTCGTTGATCGAGCCCCATCAAGTTTTTACTTTACCTGCCCATTCAACGTGATGAGGATACCCGTTTTTTTAGCTTTAGTATGAAACAATGAAACTTTTTGCCCGATACCTATTTTAGCCGGACTTGTTCCATGGCATTGCCTTTAAGATAGCTATGTCATTTGGCACAATATAATATATTTAGTGTTGAGGGACACTAAATGTCTTCAATCAGTTTCAAAAGAGTCCAATGGTCATGGAAGTCGTCGACCTCTGATCATAAAAGTAATATTTACAAAAGTGGTTTATAGACAGAGTTCCGTAATTTTTCATGGCATATGTAATCATAATCATCATCATCATTATCAGCCCACAGACGCCCATTGTTGGACAGAGGCCTCCCCTAAATAGCGGAGCTGCGTGCGTAAGATACCAAAACCGCGGCAACACACTAGTGTAGTTTTTCGTGAAAACTATTTTACGAAACAAAAAAGTCGCATATTAATGTCGTTGCCGAGAGTTACAGCAGTTTGCATCTATGCTTTTCAAAATTTTGAAATTATATCTCAAGGTGGGTGGCGCATTTACGTTATAGATGTTTATGGGCTGCAGTAACCACTTAACACCAGGTGGGCTGTGAGCTCGTCCACCCATCTAGGCAATAATAAATAAAACTTAACACGTTCGCTGACAGTGAGCACTTACCCTGACATCACAAAAAGGCAGTGAAATTCTCTATACAAAATGATGAACGTCTCCCGACGTAGTCTCGTATTGGATATATGTTTGCTTATCTAAATGTGACACTACGTTGACAGACGTGAACGTTTTACGACGTAATGTCATAATGGCTACATATTCGATCGCCTCAATCTGGCACTACGTCTACAGACGTGGACGTCTGTCGACGTAGTTTTGTGTTGAATACACGCTTGCCTGTTTTATAGCTAAACGACGTCGACAGACGTGAACGTTTCTCAACGTAGTGTCATATTGGCCACATATTTGACTGCTTAAACAAGCACTACGTCTACAGAAGTGGACGTCTGTAGACGTAGTTTCGTGTTGAATACATGTTTGCCACTCTTATTACAATACTACGTTCACAGACGTGAACGTTTCTCAACGTNTTGAATACATGCTTGCCTGTTTTATAGCTAAACGACGTCGACAGACGTGAACGTTTCTCAACGTAGTGTCATATTGGCCACATATTTGACTGCTTAAACAAGCACTACGTCTACAGAAGTGGACGTCTGTAGACGTAGTTTCGTGTTGAATACATGTTTGCCACTCTTATTACAATACTACGTTCACAGACGTGAACGTTTCTCAACGTAGTGTCATATTGGCCACATATTGGACTGCCTAAAGCTGGCACTACGTTTTAAGACGTGGACGTTGCACGACGTAGTTTCGAGTTGGTCATATGTTCGCCTGCCTAAGTGAGACACTACGTCGAAAAATATCTTATATTCTTGGGATCTTCTGAGGAAAGATAATAAAACACATAATATTTGTAAAATAATCAAATATTTTCAAATATTAAACCTCCTACAATAATTTGTGACTTATAAAATAATCGAAATTTCCCAACAAAAAACAAAAAAATATATTAATTATTATAACATCAAATGGTATGGTATTTTTCAATATCTGTACGATGAAAAACAGATATAGTCTGAATCTTATTCAAATACACGTAATAGATACATATTATATATAGGTATATATTTCTTACACAATAATTACAAATTATTTGGTATTGTAATTAGGAACATTCAAATGATTATATCATATTATTATGTTAAACGCTTAAATTATTATAAATTATAATATTTTAATACGCTATCGGAAGTTATAAATTAGGATCTTCTATAACAATCTTTGTACATAATAAATAATATACAAAGTTTCGACACTACGGCAACGCTACTAACAAACAATAAAAAGCCCTAATATAATTAACTCAATAAAAGAAAACAATATTAAACATATAAGTACCAAAGTAACAAAAAAATAGGTCAACATACCCTAGTAAATAATTATAAAAATAGGAACGTATAAAGTCTCAAAAAATTAAAGTAAATCTGCAAAATAAGGTTTTGAAGAGTCAGACTACGATTTATTGTTCTTGCTGTTCAAGGATTTGGTGATAATCCTGGAAACATTCAGGACATAATGGAGGAAGTCCTGGACAACCAATGCACCTGTAGCTAGTTTCGACCCTCTTCTTATTCTTGGAACACATTTTACACATCAGAAATGAGTATTTTTTCTTAGAATTTTCAGGTGCAGGTTGGCGTTTGGGCCAATGACCCCAAAATTTTCGTTCTTGATCTGCAAATATGTTCTTTTGGGGGTTATTGTGTTTTCTGCTATTGTGTTTTTTTAAATCTAATACTAAATCTTTACCCTTACAGTTTTCTTTCAAATCTATTAATTTTTTTATTAACTCCTCCCGATATGAAGATAACTCATATTTTGGGTTTTTCAGTACAAATTTCTTGTATAAGTAATAGGAATTCCATACAGCGGTATCCAAAAGATGAAAAAGTACTTTTTTGTACCAGCGTATAGTTTTCCTCGGCGAAGAATAGTAACTTATCATCTGGTCAGACCTATCTACACCGGACATGTATTTATTATATGTTGCTACTTCAATAGGCTTCTTAACTATTTTCCCAAACCTGTTTGTTGTTTCTATAATACGGGGGTGTTCTCTAGTGGTCAACATAATCACTGGTCGCTTATCAACCCATTTGCTAACATACACTTTATTTTTCCTTACCCAAACATGATCACCTTTTTTTAATTTTCTGTCCACTACTTCCTTTGGATTATCTTTTCTATTAACACGAAGAGTACCATTTGTATGGGTTTTCAAATCAAAAAGTTTCTGAGAAAGAGTGACCGAATTGTAGTAATTATCCATGAAGAGGTGATGTCCTTTCAATAAAAACGGTCTCATCAATCGCATTACCAACCGTTCAAGCTTCGTTACACCTCTCAATTGGGTATTCTCGTCTTTTCCGCTATACATTATTATATTAAGAACATAACCATCAGCCGTTGCCAAGACATAGAATTTAATCCCATATCTTGCTTTTTTGGACTTTATGTACTGCCGAAAGTGAAGTCGGCCTCGATACAATAGTAAAGATTCGTCTAAACTAAGCTCTTTATCAGGTTTGTATATCTTTCTAAAATTCAATGTCAACAAATCAACAAATTTGTTAATCTTTTCTGCGCCTTTTGCATCCAGTTCTGAACAACATATACATCGAAGTATCTGTTCATATCGCCGCGAAGACATTGTATATGAGAACACAGGATGATAATATAGTGGATCATCATAAGTAAATAGTTTTTGTTGTTTAGGAGTGCGAATATGTCCATGTAATAACGAAAGTCCAAGAAACTTTTTCATCTCTACAGTCGTAGTATTTCGAAAATTTTGAGACCGGGAATATCGGGTTGACGGTTTGTTTGACTGACACAAAGCTGTACCATAATTATTAGTACACTGGACCAGGTACTCGAGTAACTCTTTTGGAAACACGTGATCGAAAATTTGTTCAATGCTAGTCTGAGAGGTAACGTCAAACTGAATGCCATATGACTCGACATCGAATTCAAAATCAGGTATTTCTTCTGTGCTATGTAACCACGGTATCTCCTCTGGTACAGGAGATCTTATCCGATTTTGCACTGGTTCTGAATCTATATCATTGTCATGTTGAGGTATAAGAAGGGATGGTAAGTCGTCTACTGATTCGGAAATCGGTTCAGCATTTTCGATAGTTCTATCGTCCTGATCAGAATCTGAACTTCTAATTGAGATATCAGACTTACTTGAATCCGATGAAGCCACAGGGCCTCCAGATATAATTCGACGAGGTCTTATAGAAAATATTTCCTCTGATGAACTGGATGCACCAGTTTCTTCTATATTTTGTGGTTCATAGTTCGTGTCAGAACCATAATCACCGTCATTATCCTCGAAGGGATCTAAATCTGCTTCAGATGGCGAATTTGATGAAAAATCGTCGAACAAGCGTATTTTTGGACGTTTCTTTGAACTTTTTGCTGACATCNATTATCCTCGAAGGGATCTAAATCTGCTTCAGATGGCGAATTTGATGAAAAATCGTCGAACAAGCGTATTTTTGGACGTTTCTTTGAACTTTTTGCTGACATCTAAAATTAACAAATTGTTCAATTGGTAAATCAATCAACAACCTATAAAATTTCCAAGCTGGGCACAAGCTTTATCACATTAGAGGAGTAAATTAGCAACGGCTAATCACACGTAAGGTCATGAATTTTATTCTAATCCGACACTATAATAATACTACTTTGACCCAAGTATTTCAAGGAAAGTCTGTTATTTAGTAAATAAAAATACCTAAGTAAATACTAACATCACAAAATCTTATAAATACATAAACATAACGATGTTTCAATACAAATAAACACACAAAATATCATTTTTGCAAAATTTACTTACTGTTTGAGTGACGTAAACACGTGGTTGTTCACAAAATGGCACTGGCCGCACTGATTGATCGAGAAATTAGCGTGCGCTCACGCCGGTGGACGTAGTACTTATATGCGAACTGTTTACGTGTGTGCGTGAGCAACTGAGACAGCAATATTAAACTACTCACAAAACAATCATGTTACGACAGTAAGAAATGTGAGATTGCTTACAATATGACAGTGAATGCTATTCTTCATATTGCTTCTATTAGAAATTGTCGTCCGACGACGTACTGCCAATGCTCATAAAAGTTATTACCCCGTCCTTCGACGTACTGTTATACCGCAATATGTTAATTTCCCGTCTAACGACGTACTGTCAGCGAAAGTGTTAAAAGCAAAATATATTTGGGGGTATCCTCATAATCTTTCTTAAATTTTATTTCTTTATTGTTTAAGTTGGTCGGAAATATTCAGGGGAATACGAAATATCCAATTTGACTTTTTACACAGGTACTTTTAGTCTGTAGTGCAGTTGTTTCATTTTATTTATTTATTTATTTATTACACTTCATGTAAAATTTACATTGGCGAACTTAATTCCTAAGGCATTCTCTACCAGTCAACCAAAGGTAGTGCAGAGTAAATAGTGGTAGGTACAATGAAATTTACATTAAATTACAAATACATACACAAAAAAGTATATGTATACATATATATATACTATCACATATACATATACATTCACATACACACATTTTCACTCTATTAAGGTAGATTTGCGGGAGCAAACAGCGACAGACTTTAACAAGCCTATTCTTAAAATTTCTCGACATTCGCATTTTCTGTTAACGTAATTGGTATTGTTATAGCGAAATATACAAATGTTCGTCTTTTCAATAAGATTGAAGGTCAATGTTGCTTGTATCAAGCATCAAAAAGCTGTGATTAGTTACCGCAAATTATCATTGTTGACAATATTTCGACCAGTGCTCTATAGTTTTACTGCCTCGGGGACTAGTAATTTAACTTTAATATAATTAATGAAGTGACCGCCCAGGCGATAGCTGAACTTAGGTTGAGGCGGTAGAGTTGATCACGTACTTAATCATTAGTGTACAAATATTACACAAACTCCGCTCAGACGACTTACGGTAAGCTCGGAAGTCACTCTGGGAATCATGCATGCTACTCTGCTTCTATATTCTTAGTACTTAGATTGAAATAGTAAAACTAAGCACTTAGTGATTTACCGTGTTATTTTTAGCTTTTCTTTCTAATCTGTTTTCAACACCAGCGAAACGATAACAGCCGTCAATTATACCAGATAATATCAGATCAGATCATTTCATATCATTTACACCTATTTATTAAAATGAATCATGTGCCATGAACTATAAATTGTTTGGTACCATGCCAGAAATCTTCTCTAAAATTTGACAAAGTTTTAATCGAATAAATGGGATGCGAACTTGAGAGCGCTATTTTTAATGAATGAATTTTTAGATCATGTTCGTATAATCAAGTAATCATAGCGCATACTTCACGTAGGTACTTTGTTTAGGACAATCATAAAACTTTATAGTGTTTCATATTTGGAAATATAAAAAATTGAGCGATTCATATCTGAAGAGTAAATTGTACAGATTTCATCTTTTAAAACAATCTCGGGTTGTGTTGTAGGTACGTCATACGATAATTGTAGTTAGCACAGTTACTAATGTTGTGGTGGGTCGTTATTTGTACGAAAGAAGGCTCTAATGAAGTGGCTGGTTCGTGTTTCAGGCGCCAAAAGAGCTCGGAACTTTGTCAACCAGTTTCATTGGCGTTGTTGTGACGCCGAAGAGTAAGGTAATTTGGTCGGATGCATATTTTGTTCGGTTAATGATTATGTGTATACGATAAAATGGGGAAAAATAACTAGCTTGAAGATTGTGTTTCACTCAAAACCGCGTTTTATGTGATGGCCCGGGTGATGAGCTTGTGGTGTTAAGTGCTTTCCGGAGCCTATAGAAAATTCAACATGAATGCGATTTTCAGTCGTAAACAGCGTCTGGGCTTGGCCTTTTGTCGTAGCTGATGTTCGTGAGCTATGATGATCTTAGGTTCAGATGGGCCGCATAGTCTTTTTCATTTTATTTTTTTATTGCATAGTTGGGTGGACGAACTCACGGCCCACCTGGTGTTAAGTGGTTATAGGAACCCATGAACATCTATCACGTAAATTCCGCCACCCACCTTGAGATATGAGTTCTAAGGTCTCATTACAGTTACAATGGCTGCCCCACCCTTCAAATCGAAACGCATTATTGCTTCACGGCAGAAATAGGCAAAGTGGTGGTACCTTCCCGGGCAGACTCAGAAGAGGTCCTACCACTAGTAATTACGCAAATTATAATTTTGCGGGTTTGATTTTTATTACACGATATTATCCCTTCACCGTGGAAGTCAATCGTAAACAATTGTTAAGTACGTATTTCATTAGAAAAATTGGTACCCGCCTGCATGATTCGAACACTATTGCGATTGCATCGATAGATACGAATGCACCGGATTTTTTATCCTTTGGGTCACGAGTGCTTAAAAGTCGGTCGACTTTGGTCGTAGATTGGTCGTCTGCCCACAAAGAAAAAAGGGTAACGCCAGAAGCTGTTGAATTTTGAATTAGAAAAATACACAACTATTTTTATGATGTTGACTGTCATGCGTACATTTAATTTTCAAATAAAACATATAAGAGAAAGTAAAATAAACATTAGAATGGAATCTCATAATTTTATTGTTGTAATAAAATGTAAGTAAATTTCGTTCCCTGTCATAAATTTTTATATTGCTACACTTTATTGCTTTGTGTTAAAGTTTTTTGTCAACAATCCAATTATTCGATTATTATTATTATTATTGGATGGGATATTGAATGGCTTTTCAATAACGGTTTTTTTTAATGAAAATTGTTTAATAATTCGTATGCAGTGACGCCGTTTTTATTTGTTAATTACTTATACCGCGCTAACGTTACATATTTAAATATAAAACATGTTATTGTCTATCAAATTATTTACGCGTGCGGATAGATTTTGATTGACTCGGCGGTGCCGTGGTTAGGGACACTGTGAGGTCGTGGGTTCAATTCTCACATTGGACAAACTTTGCTGCGACAAACATGTTTGCTTATTCTTTGATTTGATGTTTAATATCTATATGTGAATATAAAACCTATATGTGTATGTGACTTAGCTCTGACTGTTCCCCGTTCATCCTTTATCATATAATAATATCACTTATCAGAATCAAAAATATTTGTAAATTTCCTGACAAAAAAATTTTATAGAAAAAAACACCTTACAAGTATAGCTCGCGCACATAATAACCTTAATTACTTTACGATTAAGTTACTTAATCGAAAACTCATAATGCTATTATTATTAGTCTCTATATTACATATAAATATGTTATTAAATTAATACAAGGGCTTGTAACGTATTTCGAGTTCGAATAGGGACAATCCGAATTTGATTGGATATTTGTTAAATCGTCCGTGGCTATTTTCATCCTAATCGGCTTCTCCGTAATCAGAATATTGATTAATTTTATAAATCATCACAATAGAGTGTTTTTTTATAACAATAAATTATATTATTTTTCTAATGTTAATTAACATTCGACTACTGGTAATAAAAAACATGTTTTCTTGGTGACGTATTTATGACGGGGTTCCATTCTGGGGTAGGTATAACATTTTTCAGTACGATCGTTGTGAGACTATTAATTCGTAAGGTTGTTTTGACGAAGACCAATTTACCAGTTTCAGCTCAAATGTAATTTCATCGACAGAGTGTTCCCCTGAGAATCGCTACTCTGAAAATCATTTTACTCATGCAGAAATTTACCGGCCGAAACCGGAGGCGTCTAATTGGCTTTACTGTACCTATACCGTAGGCCGGAAACGATTTTCAACCATCAGGCCGACAACGTGTGGCCAATCGACCAGAATCGAAACCGCAAAACACAGCCACACTCTCATTCAATAAAATCTTTTGTAACCAACAAACAAAAGACATTCAGAGCTCGTCGCTGCGCCGGTCTAAATCTGCTCATCGTTAAATTGGCTTTGAATGTGAAAATCAATCGTCATAAGTGCGATATTCACGTAGTAATATTCACAGGCTCTGGCTCTTTTCATCTGAAACCTGGTGAGCTGTGAGTCATCCACCAATTTAGTCTAAAAAAACAAGGGTACGTTTTCATAATTTCCTAATTACATCACAAAAACTTTCAAGGTATGTTGGGTTTTTGATAGACACAACTGAGCTTTTATTCGAACACTTAATTTTCGAAGAGCTACGCATAATAAAAAAATCAGAGGCGTATCTGAAGCCAACTGTTATAATTTTATATGTAAACAAAACAAAATGTCATGAGGGATATTTCATGGCTGGAATTGGTGCAAAAAAATTTTGGTAATAATTTTGAGCAGTTGTAATCACTACCATACCATTTGCATGTAGTGCAGATTTTTTATTTTTAACGTATTGTAGCCAACTTGATGCTTAGCCCCAGTCATCGTTCTCGTCGAACCGAGCTGAAGGGCTCGGCGAGTAAATTAACCCACAG